GAAAAAGAAAAGAGGAAAGGTAGAGAGAGTACTTCCTGCATTTGTTGCTTCTTTATGGCCTTCAGCTCAAAAGAATTTTTATGCCAAAGTGGCTTACATCGGGGCAGCATGTCCTACCACCCTTCATTCTGTTGCAGGCTCACACCTGTCATGCTCGCCTCATTTGAACTGTTATAACTTCAGTCCCTTTCTCGTGGGCCTTGCTCTCAGTCTAGCTGAGCTGGTGAAGGGCCTCCCGCTAGTGCAAGGTGTGGTTCCTTCCAGGTTGCGTTTGATGAGGGAATGGCTGTGATGGGACAGACTGGGGTAGGAGGGGGGAGGGGTCTTCTCCACGGAGCTTGGTTCACTCCATTTGGGGGCCAGCTGCCACTGTCACGAGAGGTCTGGCCATGGCTGCTTTTTTATCTGACCAGGTTCTGTGAGATTTTTTTAAGGGGTGAAATTTTGTTTCCACAATCCTCCATATATACAGATCTTTGTAATTATGAGTTATTGTAAAGGTTTCCCATCTTTAGACCTGATTTTGCAAGCAGAAACCTGAGGTCCCTGAGAGTGAGGAGGCTCGCCCCCCTTTAAATCAGGAGCCATCTTTGGGAGCAGCTCCTTGCGCTTTCAGATTCAGACCAAAATCTCTTCTGCATGCACAAGGCAGACTCGTCTCATTGTCAAGTCTAATGAATAAACTCCAGCTGAGAGGCATGGGGCCCAAATGTAAAATGCAGTGTCTGGCACCAGTGGAGGTAAAATAAATGACCTGTAATCTGGTGAGCAGGTCATCTTGATCCTCTACTCTGTTCGGGCAACTTCAGTGATTGATTTTGCTAAATTCGGATGAAGCAGAAGGATGTCCGGGTTCTGGGCTTCAAGCAACATGAGAGCAGCGGGGCTGAGATCAGATAATAAGACCCTTTGCAAAGGGAGGCGAAAAGAAGAAAAATCTCGATTCTTGGCTTCTCAAGGGCATCGTGTTTAGTCCCTCTTGAGGCTTGATTCTGTTTCTTGCCTTCAGATTTTGAAAGACTCTGTTGTGTCTGCTTAATAAACACTTCTTTTTGTGTATAGTGCAGTTTAAGTGGGTTTGCAAACAGCCTTTAAGACAAGAGGCACATGCTTTTATGATTCAACTTGATTTGGAAGATGCTTGCTCCACAGAGACTGCATGGATCCCGGAGTTCTTCTGGGAAGGTCACTTTTTTTTTTTTAGTTTGAGAAGATGAAGACCTTGCTAAAATAAAATATTACTATAAAAGGATTAAGGCCTTAATCAGCTCATAGCCTGCTAGAACTGTGCTGACAACTAGAAGTATAATGTGAGTCACCTATGTAATTTAAAACTTTTGTATTAGCCAGGCACACTTAAAGAAAAAGTAAAAAGAGATAGGTGAAGTTAGTTTTAATATATTTTACTTAATATATGAAAATGTTATAATTTTACTATGTAATCAATATAAATAATTATGAGTAAGATATTTTACATTCTTTTTGGGGGGTACTAAGTCTTTGCACTCTGGTGTGTATTCGACACAGGACATTTCAATTCTGACTGGCCACATTTCAAGTTCTCAGGTTTTTAGCCTCTAGGCTGGGAGCTAGACATGCTATTGGAAAGGCTATTGGAAGTGGCTTTTGAATAGTCGACCACAGTGAATGCCTCTGGTACCAGGGTAAGACATGCTGCTGTTCAAGGAAGAGCAGTCGATTATGAGCCAGGGGCCATCAGCTTGTCGCCTGACCTCTCTGAATTTATAACCTTCTTTCTCGGGTGGGGGTTGGGTGCATTAGAACGTCTTTTTGTGCTCTAATACCTGTGATTGTATTTAAACTCCTTGAGGGCATTGAATGAGCCTTCCAGTGGTAATGTAATTAATTTAATGTGATCCATTTGGTAAAAACAGCTGTGGCCCTTCTCCTTCCTATGGTCAGGGACATTTGCTGGCTGGAAAACCCTCATGTTCACAGATTCTGATGGAAGTTTAATTACACAATAACCTGGTGTCCTTGGTCTCCGGATGTCCGTTCCCAGTGAGAGCGTCAGACGTGCTAAGCTAAAGGGGCTTCTCTTGGCACTGACTGGCCTCTGCCCTGCTCGGATCGGGTCAACCCCAGGCAGAACTGTGGAGGAGATGAGGTGGGCCCTCCGGGTCCCTCCACACCCTCCCCTCCCACCTGGCATTAATTTCTCTCCCGTGGTTGGGTTCATCCATCACTGGCCCAGATGTGGCTTTTGTCTAAAACCTTCCGAGAGCCCTTGCCCTCATGGAACTACTCAGCTTCCTCCCTTTTCTCAAAGCGCTGCTCACAGGGGCTGCCGTGCTGGGCTGCCTGTGCAAAGTGTCCCTGTATACAGGGCGGGGGAGGGGGTATAGCTCCTCCCCTGTCCAGGTCAGCACAGGGCTCCTTCCGGTTAGGCCAGGCCAGGCCACAGGTCAGCAGCTGAGTCAGGCTCTGCTTGGTTGCAAGTAACAGAACCCACTGAAGGGAGAGGCACATACAGGGGAGTTATAGTAAGGTCAGCAGGTATCTGATGAGCACCAAGGGCCTGAGGGGCAGCCTGGGCCCTGCAATAAATTAAAACAGAAAGAAACCCAACCAGGAGCACTAGGGCAGGCAGGCTCCCTCTCTCTCTGTCTCTCTCTCTCCCCTTTATTTTCCTCCCTCTGTGAATCAGGACACAAGAAACTTGGTCACTCCACAGTTCTGAGGTTGGCTTGTCCTCAGTGCAAGCAATAGCAAAGACTGGCAAGCATCGCTGCATCATAAACCTACATTCCCAGGAGGGAGAGTTCTTCTGATCAGCCTAACTTGGGGCAGGTGTCCACCCTGGTCCAGCCGCTCTGGTCAGGGTGAGAGGTGTGAGGGACGAAGGCCACCCTGGCACAACCTGGGCGCAGGGGCCTTGCCTGTGGGAGAGAGAACACACTTCTCGGAGAAGGGATGGTGGGGGCTGGGCAAGTCCTCGGAAGCCTGGTATTTTTGTTGTTGGTTTGGGAAGGGTGTTTTCCACATTTCCGATGTGGAGAAATGTAAAAACCCCAGAGAACAGACTGTTAAAAGCGTTAGTAGGCCTGCATTCTATATCCATTATTTACTATTAGTATAATCTTGTTTATTTGAATTATTTATCAGATCTTATAGTATAACATTTTCTTTTTTTTAAGATAATGCTCCTTTTTTATTGAAGATTTTATTTACTTATTTTTAGAGAGAAGATGAGGGAGGGGAAAGAAAGGGAGGGAAACATCGATGTGAGAGAGAATGGTTGCCTCTCCTATGCTCCCCGATGGGGATCAAACCCGCAACCCAGGCATGTGCCCTGACCGGGAATTGTGCTGGAGAACTTTCATTTCACAGAATGATGCCCAACCAACTGAGCCACACTGGCGAGGGTGCCCGAGGATTAATAACCATGCCGACAAAATGAGCAGTGAGCTAGTCTGCAAATCTATCGACAACCTTGGCTTTCATGGGCAGACCATGATTCAATTAAGAAAAGGCATCTCAGGTGTGAGATTGCCTAAAATCTGCCTCAGCAGGTATGCTTTTATTATTTTTATTATTATATTTTAATAATGCTGCACGTTCTTAAAAATATGTAGGCATGTTCTACCAAATAACAAAGCTGTGTTGTCTCAGCTTTGCTGTAATGTTCACATGAGACACAAATTTGCACACAGCTTTGGAATTACAGGAGACACAGCTGTATTCAGAGTCAGCAGAGCGTTAACTCAGCAGGCCCTCGTTCCTAAACCTTGTACATTCTGAAGGAAGGCCCGCATTCAGAGGCTTGGCCCTTCACTGGCTCCCAGGAGATAACCTCTGAGCCCTTGTAATATCCTGCCTGGTAAGAGTGTTTTTGCAAGTGTGAGGCCCTGGGCCATGCCGGACCACTTTGATCTCTGAGGGACTGCAGAGCCAAGTAACACAGATCAGTCTCAGGGTCCGACATGGCTGATCCCCAATAAAAATGCTGGGCACCAGAGCTCAGGTGAGGTTCCCTGGTTGGTAACATATGTCGTCACATGTTGCTGCTGGGAGAATTACGTCCCTGGGCGACTCCTGTCGGGGGAGACAGGTTCTGGTGCTGTTTGCCGTTGGGGCTTCCCAACTCCTTCTGCCTTGAACCCCGTTTTCTGCATTCTAGCAATCCGAGGCCCCAGGGCTGCTCAAATATAAAGTTTCACCAGACTCTGCCTGGCCCTGGGCCACTGTCTGTATTCACATCTTCCCAGCTGGGAGACAGTGACTGTCAGCTGACACTTTGGAGGGAATCCCAACTGGCTCACGGGACGCTCCTCTTGGCTTGGATGCTCTTCCACAGCAGAAAGTTCCTTTAGTCAAAATGTCTTTCAGAGAAGTTGAACGAAACAGAAACAAAATTAAAAAATCCTCTCTATTGTCTATATCGACATTTGTGAAATAAGAAATGAAGTTTGGGCTAATGTTTGGACACAGGTATTACAAAAGGGTGAACTTCAGATGGGTGGAAACCCAGGCCTCTGTAAGGTGTGGCTCAGGCAGGTATTTTCGGGCCCGTGGCTCCCCCAGCACCCACGATGTCGGCACCTTCTGTGACGGGAGGAAAGGGGAGCCTTGGTCAGCAGGTTTGGAGCTGGCCCCTGCATATGGTTTGAAATCTGCAGGATAAACACCAGGCCAGACCCACATGATTCTGGAGTCACTTTCCCGACCACCAATCTGTGCAGATTCTCACCTCCCCTCCTTCCTGACGGCCGCCCCTCACTCCCCTGGCCTTCGTGGGTGCTGGGAGAAGCCAGCGGCTCCGATCCATCACCCACCGCTAACGACAAGAGCAGATGACACGTAAACGAATGAGATAATAAGTGAACGAACGAATGCATGTTCCAATAAAACTTTATTTGGCCCGTCCGGATCAAGTTTAATAACGCTTAATAGATTTTTTTAAAATATGAGTAGTAATAACAATTCCTCTGTAATAACAATTATATACGAACTTCTGGGCAAGGTCAGCAGCTTGTTCCTTCACTGAAAACGGAAAGCCGCCCTCTGAGGACAAATGGCACATGAGGAGCAGGGTACCTTTCCTTTTCTTTGAAATAAAAACCAAACCAAATACTTCATATTGACGTAGTCTCCATTTAAAACTCGGTCAGTGTGATTAATTGCGTTTTTAAATAGAAGTTTCTAATCTGTTGCAGGTTCCGATGTACAAATCCTAGTTAGCTGATTAGATTTAAGGTGCTGTTGCAGTGAAGGTGGACACAGCTAAGACCAAGACCGGGGGACCCTCTGCCTAGTGTGGCTAGACTTCCCATGGGTATCTTTGGGTTGTGGTGGGGGTGGGGGTGGGGCTGAACACCAGCGGTGGCAATAGCACGGCATTCCAGGTCCCGGGACTCTGCTTCTGCAGAGGGGCTGCTGTGCCCTCACACCATCACCCCAGGCTCTGCGTGGGGGGTGCCCCTCTGGCTGCGCATGTTCCGTATTCACCCTGGCCTAAACCAGGAGGGGCGTGGTTGCTTGGAGTCCCTTCTGCTGTCATGAGGTCTCCATGCTGCTGCCTGACCCCTGAGTGCCCTCGCTGTTGGCACCTCACCTCTCACATCTTCCTGCCTTCCTGGATTCCTCGTCCCCCAGGCCACTTGCTCTCCAATGAACTTCTTTTAGGGCCTGCTCTTTGCCAGGGCTAAATAGTTGATCAAAATTAAGGGCAATATTCATGATACCTGATAGGGCCCTTCTGAACTCTTCCCTCCTAACACATTTGCTCCATGGTAAGCACCTCATTAGGTGTGGGAGCTCTGGAGGGGCTCCCTATCCCTCCACCTCACCCGTGTATGACACCCCTTGGGGAGCCAGAGCTGTCACCATGTCTGCACCTGTGTCAGAAAAGTGTGCAAGAAGTGTAGAGGAGGTGGGTGCACAGGCCTAGGAGAATGAGTTCTCTTACCCACAGACCCCAAACTGGCCTGATCTAAACAAAGATTTCAGATCATGCAGGGGGGAAGGCAAACGCAGGGGCACGGCAAATGAGGATGTTTATGCACTAGAGGCACCAGAAAAAATATGCTTGCAGAGGGAAAAGACCCTGGCTCAGTTTTCAATTTTGGAACACAAGAAACATTGTTCCAAATAAAAGAAAATGGCATGGGTCAGATGGTCACGGACAGGGAAGATGCTCTCGGACTAACTTCTCTGACTGAAACGCCAGCGCCACCCAGCAGAGGGAGGCGTTCTACAGAGCACAGACACTGGCTGAGGGCCAGGAGACCAGGGTTCAAGGCGTGCCCAAGCACTGGCTAGACATTGCTTCTCTGCTTCTCCCTGTCTTCCCTCATCTGTCAGTTGAAGCTTTTTGGGCCAGATGGTTTCAACACCAGGCCTGCAAGATTCCTGTGTCCACCCACCCAGACAGGGCCTGAGGACTGGGTCTAAGACACGTTTCTTCCCTGCACGCCACCACTTAGAAAATGCAAGGGCCTCCTCTTCGCTGGGACAGTGATCAACCCAAACTAGGCTCCTGTTCAAACCCGCTCCCAGAGGTTAAAGGCTAGTTATTAAGGCAGTTTAAGAAATGGACATTCCTCTCGCTCCTCGGATCCTTCCTGTGTTCTGCTAACCCCCAGGCAGCAGAGAGGGGCGGATGGGGCGGTGGAGGTGCCAGGGAGCTGGCCTCCTGCCACCAGGCCCTGCTTTCCTAGGTGGCCCTTCTGGGTGGGGATGGGGGTTGTGCTGGAGCGCCCCCTCAGCCCTCACCACCTTTCTTTGGAGAAAGCCTCCGTCTGCACGAGATCTCCAGGGTGCTCGGAGATGCATGTGCCATTGAGATCGCCCAGTTTATTGTCTGGTAGGTCTTCGGGCTTGGTGCAGAGTTTCAGCGCGCGGGAGATGAACACGTCCAGGTCGAACTGGGGGCTGGCGCCGCCGTCTTTGGCGGCAGGGTGGCTGGGCGGGGAGGCAGACAAGCGGTGCTCAGGGCCAGACAAGCGGTGCTCAGGCCCCTCTGGGGGTGGGCTGGCGCGCTCTGGGCCACTCTGCGTGCTCTTGACCCACTGCGCGATCTCCAGGAAGAGGCTGGCCTGCTCGTCCTCGTCCTCGCGCGCCCCTGCGTCTGCGGCCACGGCGGCAGTCGGGGGCGCGCCAGCCGCCTGTTTCCAGTGCGACAGGTCCAGGATGAGCTTGGGCTCCGAGTAGTGGTGCGGCTTGTTGTCGCGCCACAGCAGCTTGTCCAGGTAGGACGGCGACCCCACCTTGTAGTCGCAGGAGTGCCCGTAGTCGGCCTCGAAGGCGCGCTCCATGGACGAGTGCGACTGCTCCAGGAAGCGCTCGGAGCTGCTGTGCGAGTCCTTGCGTGGATCCACCTGCACGTCCTCTGCCAGCGGGGCCGAGCCGGCGCGCGGGTCGCGCTGCACCTCGCTGGCGTCCAGGCAGCGGTCGGGCCGCCACTCCAGGTCCGATGACAGGCTCACAGGGTACCTGCAAGTGTACAGATGGAACAGTGATTGGATCCCCAGCCTAGTCCCTCCAGCTCCGGTCCCCACCTCGCTCCAAGGTGGGAGGGTGATGGGACAAGGTGATGGTGAGCTTCCAGGGCTCAGGTAGAGGGACTGTTTGACTTAACCCTTGTATAGTCCTTTTACATTCATTCAATACCCTGCAGGTATTTCTCAGCATCTGCTCTGTACCAGGCGCTGTTCTAATCATTACCAGACACCACAGTGAACAAAACAATAAAATCCCTGTTCTCATGGAAGTTACTTTCTGGTGAATGCACCTAGGCAGTGCCCCTTGACCTTTGATGTGCTCGTAAGTTGCCGTGTTAACACTTCCGTGCAGTAGATCTCCGTGCAGTCGATCCGAGCTGGGGCCTTGGGTTCTGAGTCCTAGGAGGCTCCCAATGATGCTGTGGGTCTGGGGACCGCACTTTGAGTAGCAGGGCCCTAATGAGTGCTTCTCAGCCCTGGCTCAGATCAGAACACCTGTGGGAATACAAAGTAACATCCCATGGTGCCCTACACCCCCCAATTCTGATCCAGTAGGCCCAGGGTGGGGTCCTGCATCAGCATGGTTTTCAAACCTCCCCAAGTGATTCTAAGGTACAGCCAGGGCTGAGAACTCCTGCCCTAGTGGATTGTGTTCGATGCCCTGCAGCACCGTGCCTGGATGCAGAGCAGGTGGGGCCTGCAGAAAGATTATGGGCTCCTCAGGAGAGGCCAGACACCCTTGGAACTCGGCCCTGTGTTAACTGCTCTGCAGCCATAGAAAGTGAAGGCAGCCAGCCAAGAGCAAATGAAGGGCAGGCAGGTGGGAGAGCCAGCCGTCAGCTCAGGCTGAGCCCTCCCTTCCCTGGGCCAGGTGCTCTCTGCAGAACCTTTGGGGGGAGGGGTGGGTCAGGCAGGGAGCACAGAGGAGGTATCAGCCAGCAGCCAGCTGCTCCTGAAACAAGGGACCTACTGCTCACACAGGAAAACCCAAAACGCCAAGGGCAAGCAGGTCTGTGTGAAAGTACAGATTGCAGGGGCAGTCCCTTCGGTTTGAGAGGTGCAGGAAGGCCCCAATACTGCCTCCCCTCCCAGTGACATGGGTAGGACCAGGGTCTCCCAGTGGTGAACATGGCCTTCTCCCACAAGGGTCCTCAAAATCGCAAATGTTTCCAGCAGGAAGAATTGACGAAGACCCTAACCCTTGGCTGCTATACACCAAGGGCCAAACGGAAGTTGTAGCCTTCATAGCAGCCTGGACTGTGGACTCAGCGTTATCGCCACCGCAGGTGAGGACACAGGTGTTCAGAGGTTAAGCAGTTTGTCCAGAGCAGCTGGGCCTGCAGGAGGGGGTTTGCCACCACCTTGGTCCTTCACCTCCCCCACACAGGCATGATGGGAAAGGTTGGGAGCAGAGGTGTACCAGCTTTAGAAGTGGTCAGAGTTGATGGGCAGAAACCCGGCTATAGGTTTTCCTGGCACCAACCCCATGCCAAAGCCATGATTAGCATGGGATGAACCTCGCTGAGCCCCAAATGCTGTGGAGTGGAGTGGGAGGGGCTGCAGGGACCACAGTCAAGGGCAGGCCAAGCACAGGGGGTGGCTCAGGAGAGAGTCCTTATCAATCTCCATTTGTTGGCAACTCTTGATAACAATAATTGATATGGACAAGCCAATACACCTGTCCAGTAATAGCAATGTGGCCCTGACCCGCCATCGGTGGTACCTTCTTAATCCGAAACCCATCGAATGATGGAAAAGGAGGAAGTGCTCATCTGTCACATGTGTAACTAGCTGTCACATCCCCACAACAGCAGGGCTCCCACTTAGGCCCCTCGGGGTCCTGGCTGCTGAGCCCTCGACTGTATTTCTAAATTGAGCAGCTAGGGCTGTCCCTCCTGGAGTAGCAGATGGTGATTCCCAAACGTTTAGCTGCGTGCTCTAAGAGCATCAGAATAGGAAAGAGCCTAAGAGATCATTATGTGCCTTGCCCACGTGGAGGCTGTTAAAAGTATCTTCTTTAAAAGTATCTTCTACCCAACTCCGATTCATCAGTAGTGACGTCTGGACACTCTGTGTTGAGAGGGATTCTGATGCCCAGCCCAGTGTAGCAGGAAAGAGTCCTGTGATTGCTTAGCCGTGTCTGACAAGGATGCAGATTGGGGAGGACCCCGGATGGGCCAGATACGGGCTGTGTGACACAATGCCAACCTCTAACCTCTCTGAGCTGCAGCCGCCTCGGGTGCCAATGGGCAACACCAATAACAGCACTTCCCCTAGTGGCACTCTGTGGAGCTGAACATGCCAATGGGTGGTACAGTGGTAAATTTCGCACCGTTCTCTTGCCTTGCATTGCTGCAGTTTACTTTTCCAGGGCAAATTCCCAGCCTGGCAGAAGTCAGCTGATCACTCACTAATGCTTGCGGAACATTGCCCTGAGCTCCGAGTGCGCCGGGTGGGGAGGAGACTGGCAGTGGCCGTGCTACACGGAGGAAAGCCCCTGACCTGTGCACAGGTGAGCGACAGGCTGGGCGTGTCCGGGGACAGGAGAGACAAAAGCAGGAACGTAAGTTGGAGAAAGCACCCCTGGGCTATACAATGTGGAAAATGGGGGAAAGGTCACATAGGATCACAGCAATGTGGGCTCTAGACTCCAGGGCTGGAAACTTCTGGAAACACACCTGTCCCAGTTGGAGAGCTGGCTCTGGCTGGCGGCCATCAGCAGGATGTCGTCAATCTCGTCCTCGATGTGGAAGGGGTGCTGTGAGGTGGGCTCGTCCTCGGGGCACGAGTACGGGCTCATGTAGGGGTGCTGCAGCCCCATCTCGGCTGTCAGGCGATCCATGGGGTTAAAGGTCAGGATCTTCTCCAGGAAGTCGATGGCTGTGGGGAGCAGAACAGGACATGAAGGTCATTGGTTGCCGCTGCCACCCTGAGAAGGAGACCTCTCAGTATGGTGACATTCCCAGGGGTTTGTACTTTTCCATTTGTAAAAAGGTTTTCAGCCATTTTCTTTCTCACGATCCTCACCACAGTCCAGCGGCAAATTCAGAGCAGATGCTGCTTATCTGACTTCACACATCTACATAATAGAGGCACGGTGGGGGGAGTGTTGGGGGGCGGGGCTTGCTCAGGGTCATGGTTGGTTACAGGAGGTCTAGGGCTAGAACTCTGCCTTAGGCTGGATTTCTCCAGAGACGAGGATTGGGGTGTAGGTGGTTATGTGGCGGTGTCCCACAGAAGCGCACTGGGTGGGGTGGGGTGGGGGAAGGAGCCAGTCGGGGACGTGCCGATCAGCAGGTTCCTCCTGTGGGCACCTGGGGCTTCCTGGGGTCCTCCTGGAGACAGTGTGGGACGCACCTTGGAGGCAGCTTTGCTTAGGGGGCACTGACAAGGCATCATCACCATTATCATCGTTATTTAAAAAGCCCCATCGAAACCTGAAGTGGGACAGCGCCCACCCCGAAGGCCACTCCACTGACTCTACCAAGGATGAGTCTCCTCTTTCCTCCCCCTGACAGCTGGTCCTTTAGCTAGTGCCAGACACTTCTAGGAAGCCCTAATTCTAGAAATCCTTCCTCTGTCAAACCTGTGTCTGTCGCCTCTGACCTCCACCCCTCAGCCTAGCTCTGCCCTTTGTGGTCCCCCGACATCAGCGCGGTCTCTCTTCCTCGTGCCTGCCTGGACACACTGGCTGGTGTCTCCCAGCAGCCCCTGCGGTTAGATGTGGCTGCGTGACAGGGGCCACGCAATGGGGCAGAACTGACGTGTGTACCCCACTTCCAGGCCTGACCCATAAAAACCTCCTGCAAGAGTCTCTGCTCTCTCTTCCCTTGGCCTCAGCTGGAAGTTGGTGCCCAGGGGTGCTTTGAAAGCTATGTGTTGAAGATGGCAGCTGGCAGCCGCCCTGACAGCCGGGGTGCCCGGCAGACCGTCCAACCCTGCCCCCCGCTGTCCCACCAGGCTGTCTGGACTTGAGGTCCATGGTGAATGCACTACTACAGGGTAAGCCGTAGAGATTTCAGATTTTCTTCTATGGCGCTGGCTTACCCTTAACTCATGAACCACCACACCCTCCCTCCCCCAACTCCTTCTTTCCTGGGCTCAACTTCCCCAGGTGTTTTAAAGTATGTCTAATATAATGAGGCTTCTGTACCATCCTGCCACCCTCCTGTGGCCCAGTGGCTTCTCAGCTAGACTTCTCAGCACTGAAGAGGCTCTGAAAGGATTCTTGGGGGCGTCCCTGGCAATTGGGAGGCAAGTGGGCAAGGTTCTCAAGCCCTCGACCCTGATTCATCCAGAGTCTTCCTTCCACCTGTTTTGTATATTAGGTTTCCTTGTCCGATTTGTCACTTGTGGTGTCTTTACTTCTGGTAGCAAATGGAGCTCAGAACCGTGGGGTCTCAGGGCCTGCCTCCCTTGTGCTGCATCTGTGGCATGATGGCTGTGTCAGCTGCTGGGGGACACGGTCAGCTAGACAGTGTCCTTTGGGCCTCTGAGGGCTACAGCAGAGAGGCCCCTGCCTCTTCCCACATCTGCGGGGCCTCAGAAGCATGGCAGAGGGAGCGAACCAAGGGTCACCAACTGGTCTCCTAGCCAGATGGGCTTGAGTACCCTTCCCCCACTGATATTCCATGTTCCCTGTCAGTGCTGCCTCATTACCCGAGGGCCAGAGGCTGAATGGGGTTACTTTTCAAGGCCAGAGAGAATTTTGGATGAACGTGGCATGATGGGACGGGGTAGCAAGCTGGCTTTAGGGGACATCTGTGCAGCTGCAGGACTGAGTCCAAATCCATCAGCCAGGCGTTCAAAGCCCTGTGGCTCTCAGTCCTTCTCACGTCTCCAGTTCCGTGGTTTGCGACTCACCCCGCCGATCGGGGCCCTCACCACCCACTCTTCTGGGCCAGCCTCTGTCCCTCTCAGCACTTGGTGGCTCTTTGCCCTTCCCACATGCCCAGAGCTCTCCCTAGCCCTGTAGAATGTGCTCCTTAATCTCCATCCTCATCTCTGACGGGATTCCCTGTCTCCCCAGCTAGACCAGCTCTTGTGTCCATTTGGATTCCCATTCCTGGCGGTGCTCCAGCCACGGCGGGTCAGTAAATGTGGGCTGAGGCTGCTGATGACTGAGAGGAGCTTCATCATGTTCGATCAGGCACCGGTTCTGACTTCGCTGAGACCAGGCCCACCACTCTCAGAACCAGGTCACCAAGGGCTGCAGTGTGTGTGGTTGCTTGGGGGAGGGGACATGGGTGACCCACTCTTGATCCAGAATTCCTGAGAGGTGACCGCACCTCTTGACACATGGTGGGGTTTCCACAGCAGCCTCAGAATCAAGATAGACAGGGATGGCTGAGCCTTAATTTGTGGTGCATCAAATAACCCCTCCTCCCTTTTAATGATGGGGAAACTGAGACAGTTCACTGATTGAATGGGAATCATGGCCAAAGGCATTGTGAGTCCAAGTTCTTGGTTTCCTGATGGGGAGGAGTGTGGCAGAGACTGCTAGGTTGTACCCCGTGTCTGTTCTCCCCTTTCATAGTTATGGACACAAAGTGTCACGGAGTGAAATACCCACTTCACAGCCTCCACTGCAGTGAGGTGGGGCCCTGTGACTCAGTTCTGGCCACCAGGGCATGCGTGGAGGTGAGGTGTGCCATTTCTGGCTCGTGACCTGAAAGGCCAGGGGACACACCCTCCTTCCTGTCTTTCCTCCAGGGACTGAGGGCAGCACCGTAAGGGGCAGAACAAGACAGAAGGGCCATGCGCCCCTGGATGACTGTGGAGCAGGTCCACCTATGGGCCCTGGACTGCCTGCTTTTGGATTGTTATATAAAAGGGAAATAAACGTCTTCATTTCTTTTTTCTTAAATAAGCATGAACTCTTATTTGAGCCATTGCGAATCTGGGTCCCTCTCACAATTGGCTGAGCCTATATCCTACTTACACAGGAGCTTCCTAAGGAAACCTCCGACAGGGATGGGGCCCAGTGATGACGTAATATCCGAGGTGACAGAGCCACTCTCCTATGCCCAGGGCACTACAAATCCTATGTTACTTACTCGTCACAACAACCCGTCCAGTACATATTATTAGGAGTTAAGGAAATTGAGATGCAGAGAAGTCAAGAAACTTGCCCAGGGCCAAATAGCTGGGCACCATGGAGCTGGGAATTGAGCCTGGCTTTGGCTCGCAAGCAGATAAAGCTCATCATGTTCTCTGCACCACATCATACCTTCTAAGGAGGAGGAAGTAAAGGGGATGAAGGGGGGAGACAAGCAGGAAAGACCAGAAAGAAAAGGAAGCAAACCAGGGGCGGAATGTGGAGGACCACCAAAGACTACAGTCAGGGTTGTCTGCTGGCCAGACTCCAGGGCGCCATCCTTCTCAGTCTGGAAGCAGCCAGGGCAAAGGCCGCCTGCTGGCAGGCTCAGTTGTATGGCTAGGGACTGTGCTTGGTCCTTTTGGAAGGAGGCCACCCGCCCCTGCACCCCAGGTGATGCCCCGGGGATGCTGGCCTGGCTGTCCGGCTCAGGTACCTTCACTGTTCACTTCAGGGAGCAGCTTGCGCAGGGGCCGCTTCACCTCCCAGGTGCTGTTGACGAAGGAAGGCATCACCCTGAGCAGCTCGTCCTTGTCCTCCTCCCGGATCACAGGGATGGTGTCTAGTATGAGCTGCATCTGCTCCAGCTCGTGAGCCCCTGGGGAGGCAAATGCCAGGTGGTTAAGTGAGCTGCCCAAGTGGCTGGGCGTGCGGAAGCCCCACAGCTGCTCCAGAAGGCCTGCGGGGGGGGGGGGGGGGGCGGGCAACACAGGACAGTGGGAACAGCACGAGGCTGGGAGCTAGGTGTCCTGGGGTCTGGCCTTCATTCTGCCACTAACCTGCTATGTGACTATGAGCAGATTGCCTGTGGCCTCTGGGGCTCGGCTTTGTGAAATGTCTCTGCCTGTGAATGGAGCAGTCTGATGCAGACTGAGTCAGCCATCACCGAAGGGACGGGAGCAGCCTGGCCCAGGGCCTTCCAAGTGCTCCTTCCCATATGCCTCTCCGTATGTTCTTCACCAGGCTGGGGAAGGAAGTGATTTCAAGCCTAGGACTGAGCCTTAGCCTTTGGCTTCTGATTAGGAGGATTCCAGTTAGGAGGGAAAAAGAATCGGGACTAGCAAATTGGGTTTGGGCTGTGTCCTGAGAGCACTGCCCCCGTGCCCCTTTGGGCAGAGGGAGCAAGATACGTTCTGCCCGTCTGTGGTCAGGGTGGACCACAAACATTCACTCAGCCAACAAGTCATTATTTATTGAGCACCTTCTCTCTGCCAGGCACGGTGCCAGGTGCTGGAAATGAATACCTTTCTCATCTGTAAGGAGCATCAGTCTTTATGCATCTCAGAAACTCGTCTTCTATACCCAGGCAACACTGGCGCCTGCATAGGGGCTTTGGCCCTGCTGGTATGGGTCAGGTCTGTCTCCCTGCGGTCCGCTCTGACCTCCATGCAGCAACTGCTTTCATCATTTCTGTTTTTCCTTTTTGCATGAGTAGCCTTTCCACTTCCTCTACCGGGGTGAACCCTCAACTAAGCCTCTTTCCTGGAGGAGTCCCCCCGGCTCGTCCCCACTGCACAGTGGACCCTCCCCTTACCACCTGTTCCCATGGGATTCCAGGCTGTCAGAGGCTGGTGGCCCAGGACAGGCCTTTCCATGTCCCCTCACAATGCCCTGGGTGGCACTAATCATATGCAAATGCTGTCAATGCCCACCCAGAAAGTGCAGACAGCATCAGGGTCTGCTCCCAAGGAGACCCTTTTGGCCTCTCCCTCCAGGGGGCTCATGGAGGGTTGGTTCAGGGACTCTGGGAGCCCTGTGTGGGGTGCCCTTTCCAAATGAGCACTACAGACTAACAACTGCTCAGAGTGGCAGGGAGACGTGAGGAAGGGGCTGGAAATGGAGGGCGGGTGTTTCTAGAGGTCAATCTCAAGGTGTTTAAATACAAGTGGTTACTTGATTCTGAAAGTTCTGTCCTCGGATATTATTTTGAGTCTAGTATTTTGCCTGAAATGATAGTAAGGTGCCTCCAAGTAGTGCCATAAAAACCACAGAGGTTATTTCAAAGAGAAAGTTAGCATGTTTTGTGCACTCAGTTCTTCCTTCTTCTCGAACATCACCAAAAGAAAAAAAAAACAGAAGGGAAAACACAAGCAAACAAAAATAAAAAAAGGAGAAGAAACAGGAAAAAACAAACAGAATGACACCGGAAGAGAAGGAAGGCGGTGTGGGTAGCAGCTTACCTGCAAAGAGCATTCTCCCCGTGAGCATCTCGGCCAGGATGCAGCCCGCGGCCCACATGTCGATGGCTTTGGTGTAGTTGTTAGGGGAGAGGAGCAGGCGTGGTGAGCGGTACCACTTCGTTACCAAGCCTTCCGACAGATAACCCTGCAAGACAAAATCCCCATGTCCATTCATCCACCATGCAGATTCCCACGCCTCCACTCGTTTCTCTTCCCTCTACCCTGTCCTGTTGATCTGGAAGGAGCTTTGGGGAACAGAGGTCTGATTATCAGAGTTCAGATTCGTTTGTGGGGCTCAAATGTGGGAGAATCTCAGGAGGCCCTTGGAGTTCTCCTGTGTAGAAAGGGACTCAGGATACCATTATTTTAGAAGTATTCTACACCAGCCTGATGCAACTGTGCAAAACAAATCTGCCCTCATCCAGTAAGAAGGTGGATAAACAAGAGCCATACTGGAGTTCATTACTGCCACTAACAGAATAACGATGAGACAACGGAGATTCATTTATCTAGTAGCTAAATCTCAGAAACAGCCATACATTTGAAATCAAGCCAGCTGCTTTGGTGCTAAAGGTTAGAATTAATGCAGCTACAATGCCAGAGCCAAGCCCCCGCTGAGTATGGGTAAGGCGAGCTTCATAATGGATGCCGATGAAGGGCCTATGAAAGCAGACCTAAATGGCAAAGTGGACACAGCTTTTGCCCAGAGGATTCTGTGATCAGATAGTGTCTTTTGGGGGGATAGATATTCTAGTTGATTTCAGCCATTTCTCAATAATGTGGTCTGTGATGGAATCCCTCCCTGTAAGGTGCAATGATGACCTAAGTGGTTTCAACACAGATAAGAAAATATAGCCAGGCAATTTGGAAATTGTTCTCTACATAATTCAGAAGGCTGGCCTGACAGAGAAACATGGGAAATGTCCATCCGGATTAACTGAACAATCTCTCCAAAGTGGGCACATGGACTCATTGCGGATTCAAGGTGAGACCATTCAGATTGAGGGGCTCCAATGAGAGATTCTAGGGATGATCTTGTTATTTGATGACGTCATGCCCTGTTTGGCATTTGACTTTGCCTTTTTGCTGATGTAAAAAGTATCGCAGACCCAAGTGAAAATGTATGAAAAGTTTAGAAGCCCAAGTACCCGGGCACTTCGGATCAGTTAAATCTGAAACCTTTTCAGTTGTTGAGCAAAGATTTGTTGTCTAAAACCTTCTCAGGGCCCTGGAGCATGACAGCAGCTTTCTCTCCTCTGCGGCACAGATTTCTTCTGAGTGGGGCTCAAACTGGTGGGGGAAAGGGGAAAAGAGGAAAGCACCCCTGAGCCGGAGGTGACTACAGCAAAGCGGTTCCTGGCCTCAAAGCTCCCACCGGAATGAACACCGTAGTTTGTTAACGTATCCCCCTTTCTCTCCCTGGGCATCTACACGTGTGCCTTCTGCCGGCAGAGGTCCTGGCACCCACTGCCCTACCTGGCCGACGCACTCTCAGGCTGGCTTCCTCTCAGAAGCCTCCCCATTCGCTGGGATGAGGTGGATGCCCCTCCCAGGAGCTCCAGGGTCCCTGTTTGGCTACTTTTTCTCCACTTCTATCAAGTCCCTCACTTTCTGACCACTAGACTCTACGCCCCTCATGAGCAGCAGCTATATCTCGTTCCACAGCCATTTCTGCATTGTCTAGCCCCCAAGTCGGCCTCTTAGGAAGTGTTCAATCAACACTATTGAACAAAGGAATGAATAAATGAATGAATCAATAAGGAATGCCTCCTATGATCTGATCTGAATCCCCTTCAAAACAAGGCATGTTTTGCAGGGATCACTGACCCTTTTCTTTGACATACCTGACTGTCCACAGAGTTCCAGTTCCTATTTTCTTTTTTTTTTAAGATTTTATTTATTTATTTTTAGAGAGGGAAGGGAGGGAGAAAGAGAGAGAGAGAGAAACATCAATGTGCGGTTGCTGGGGGTCATGGCCTGCAACCCAGGCATGTACCCTGACTGGGAATCGAACCTGCGACGCTTTGGTTCACAGCCCTCGCTCAATCCACTGAGCTACGCCAGCCAGGGCTTTCCAGTTCCTACTTTCAAAGGTGGGTAAGAAGTTGACAAAAGTTGACAGTCATTTGTGCCTTGCCTTGTTTCAAGAAGGATTGGAAAATATAAGTCATTTTTTAAAGGTTAGGTGTATCAAGGTATGATTTACATACAGTAAGTAAAATTTGCCCGTTTTAGTGTATAGTTCTAAGTTTTGACAAAAGCCTGGAATCACATAACCACCATCACGATCAAGATAACAATTTCATCATCTCAAACAAGTCCCTGTGTCCCCTTCTTGTCACTCCAGTTTGGCCTTGGTTCTGAATGCCATGTAAATGGAATCACAGTCTTTTGAGTCTGAATCCCTTCACCGAGCATGACGAATTTAGACTCAGCCAGGTTCTGTGCATGGTAGTTTGTGAGGGGCTGAGGCTGGATTCTAAAAATTACAGAGACAAGCCAAGCTGTCTGTACGAGGTCACTTCCGAGTGGGTGGGTTATAAGGAAAGGATGGTCTGATTTTGTTTTCCAGCCAGAGGCTGTGACTGTCAGAGGAAGACTAAAGCAGGGATGGGATCGCCCAGATGGGAGGCTAGGTGAGGAAAGTTTTCCTTGATATGCAAATAAACAGTCTTTTAGGGAATGGAATTCCCCATAATTAACACCTGCCTCTCTGCAGCGTCTGGGGCTGAAGAGAAGTGAGGACCTGGGGTGGGAGGGACTTCCTTCCGAAACATCTGCTCTCAAGTGAAGGAAAGATGTTCATTTGGGCAGAGCTGCCTGTGGGCCAGAATTATGGGCTTGGGCCTTGATAGCAGTTGGGGAAGTTAACCCCTGCTTCTTGCTTACCTTTGAAACCTGCTGGATTTTTCTTAATGACTAGCTACTTCCTGATGCTTACTTGTCCCTCAAGCCCTTTGCAAGCACAGAGTATTCACTGACGTGTTTCTGGAGCCATGGGACAGAGAAGAATTTGGGAAAGTACAGTGTCTTCTGCCTGGCTCCGAAGCAAGAGGACCCTGGGGAAGGGGGATGAGAACAAACAGGGGCCCCCTTCCCCGGGGTGGGGGAGTGGGCAGGCCCAGGAGGCCCGCTGAGCCCTGGGCGTCTGAGCAGGGGACACTGGGGGTCCATGATGTGATACTGGTGATCTAAGTTCAAGAGAGGAGTTTCAGCTGAGTAGATGGGATGAAAGTCAGAACTTTCTAGAATAAAAAGAATTCTTTAATGAATACTAAGGAGTGGAGACTCAATTTGATCAGCAGGGCTCATACATCAGTAAGTGTATTGGCTCACGGAAACCCCTAAGCAGCTTTGCTGCTGAGCCTGCAGAGAGGAGAGGGTGGGCTCCCCTTGAGGTGGAGGCCCCTGTCCTCAGTGATCAGACCGGGTCTCCAGGGGGCTCCCCCGTGGGCAGGCTGACTGAGGGGGGGCGAGTGGGACAGCAGGCACACACCTCACACACTGCCCTGTGAGCTCCAACACAGCACTGCTCTGAGGAGACACGGAGCCAACATCCTGTAATTCTCCGAGGCCCCCTCTCAGCAGATGACAGGCAAAACCGGAACAGGGCTGTCCCTTTCCTTCTGCCACTTGGTCCCTTGGCATTCCTGGAGAGAGGCTGACTCTGGGGGCACCACTGGGAGGCAGTTGGAGACAGTTTCCTGCCGTGGGGGCCTTCGGGGTTCCTCCAGCTGTTGCTCCTACCAGCCCACTTTGCTGTCCTTGTAGAGTCCTGGACAGCCAATGGGAAGCTGTGACTTTGAAAGCTTCAGAGGTGTTTGAGAAATAGTACTCTAGCAGCAGCTGCCCCGAGTGAGGGTAATGAGGGGCCCGCAGCCGGCCCAGAGGGAAGGCGCCATCAGAGCTCTGAGCATTCCTTTGTCGGAAGAAGCAGGGGAGTGTGGACTCAGTCCCAGATGCCTGCCAGGAAGTTCGGGACAGCCTTGCTCAAACTCACCCTGGAAGGGTGGGCACCCATCTCCTGTCCTGACCAGCCAGCGCTGCGTGGGCTCCTGTTCTGTGTGGCTTGCCCTGTCTATGTCTCCACCACCTGGGGCCCGAGCTCGAGGGTCTGGGCGTGGGAAGGCTGGGGGAGGAGCTATGACCCCATGGGCCTCCGACTTTATGTGTTAATGACAGTGTAACTTCCAGCCTCTCACAAGGATGGGAAGAATTTAAATGGGGACAACATTCTCCCAAGAAATAAAATCCAGTCAACTCTCCCTCTCCCTCTCTGAATGCAGCGGTGGGGTGATAGGGTGGGAAGAGGAGCTCCCCCCTCGTACTGAATGGATGCTTCTGGCCGGGATGGTGGGAGCCTGAGAGCCTCGCTTTCCCACCCTGCATTATCCTCCAGCACGTGTCCTGGGAGCGGGTGTCCCTTCCTGTGACCCAGAAGTGAAGACGAGTAAGATCCTCCCTGATCTCAAAGAGCGTACAACATGGTTAGAGGGACGAAAAGATGATCGGAAGGACCAGGAAGTGAACTCGGTCAACTCCCAGTAAGGTGGGACTTGCTCTGTGCTGGACACTGTGTTTGCATTTTACACGAATTCATTCAGCAGTCCTTCCATCAGCCTCCTGACGCAGGCTCTCCGTGGGGTAGGAACACGACATGCCCAAGTCCAGAGCCCGCACTCCACTCTGTGTGCGGCTGGGCCTCACCACCACGCACACTAGGCGGGGTCGATGATAAGCAGCAAGGGCTAGAGGCTAGAGGCGTGCTCAGAGTGCAGAGGGGTGATACTTTGTCCCGAGGCGGGTCAGGGAAGGCTTCATGGGCGTGAGGTTCGAGTTGATCTTGATGGATGGGGACATCTTAGATGGCTGTGCTAGGGAACCTTCCAGGTGGTGATGCAGAGCCTGTGTGAATGCGGGTGATGGGGTAGGAAGACCTAGAATGTGCTCAGGGGCCAGAGAAACTTCTGGACAAATGGGGTATGGGGCAGGGACTTAGTCAGTGGTCCCCAAGGACCCCCTGCATCAGAATCAGGGGAATTGCTTGTGAGATGTACAGACTGCCCGAAGCTACTGGTCTCCACTTCAGTGAGCCCCCTCCCAGTTTGAGAACCCCAGGAAGAACAAACGGAGCGGGGAGGGTTG